TGCGGAACCTGGTCATCAGACTCAGCCCTGGTCCACACTCCTGTCCATCTGTCCTGCTCAGACCTGCATTGATTTCTGACACTTGATGCACTGCTTGTAGAGGGAACTATGGACGCTATGTGCTCTTCTCAGCCTGCAGATCTCCAGTCAGGACATCCAGGGATATCTAATCTTCAGCTGACAGGGCAAGATGCACATCTATAGTTCTGTCACTCAGAACTGCTCCTATATGGGAAAAAAACCAAAAACAATACAACCGAGAATTGTGGAATTTAGGGCACAGACTCCTGTGTATGAATAAGAGAACAGAAACCCTCTTCCCTTCCCAGGGGGAAAAAAATATCACTCTAAGACAATTTAGAATCATAGAATCATAGAAAATTAGGGTTGGGAGGGACCTCAAATCATCTTGTCCAACTCCCTGCTCAAAGCAGGACCATCCCCAACTATATAATTCCAGCAAAGGCATTGTCTAGCCAGGTCTTAAAAATCTCCATGGATGTAGATTCTATAATCTCTCTGGGTAACCTGTTTCAGTCTTTTACTACCCTCCTGATGAGAGGTTTTTCCTAATATCTAACCTAAACTTCTCTAGCAGCAACTTGAGATTGTTGCTCCTTGTTTTGTCATTTGCCAGAACTGAGAACAGGCTAGTTCCATCCTCTTTCAAACCATCCTTCAGGTAGTTGAAGGCTGCTATTAAATCCATGCTCAGTCTTCTCTTCTCCAGACTAAATAAACCCAGTTCCCTCAGCCTCTTCTCAGAAGTCATGTGCCACAGCCCCCTAATCATTTTCATTGCTCTCCAATTTATTTGCATCCTTTCTGTAGTGGAGGGCCCAAAACTGGACACAGTAATCCAGATGTGGCCTCACCAGTGCCAAACAGAAGGGAATAATTACTTCCTTGGATCTGCTGGCAATGCTCCCACAAATGCAGCCCAGTATGCTGTTATCTTCTTCACAACACAGACACATTGTTGACTTATATGCAGCTTACTGTCCACTGTAACCGTCAGGTCCTTTTCTGTAGAACTTCTGCTTAGCCAGCTGGTCTGTATTGCGCTGCTCAAGCAGGGAGAGGAGGGAGCCAGCCTGGCTCCACAGAGCCCCTGCCATTCCACTCTAGGCCCCGCCAATGCTGGCCCTGGTGCATCGACGTAGGCCCCACGCTCCCGCCTGGCTATCGCTGCACTCTGCACGCCCGCTCACTACCCCTTCCCCCTGCCTGCCATAGCCATTTCCCCGCTCACCCCCCACCCACCAGCTGGTCTCCAGTACCATGTGGTTCCCAGCTGCAGTGCCGGGACTGCAGGAGCCAGCCCAGCCAGCCCTGGGGCGATCACCCAGGGTCCTCCCCTGCCTCTTCCTACCCCCGCCCCTTCTTATCTGTATTTCCCTCCATGCAGGGAGGCAGGAACAGCCCCAAGCCAGAAGCCTCCAGAAGCCCCTGCTAGGCAGAGGCTTCCAGGTGGGGTTGGTGGGGAAGGATGGAGGGGGGGCAGAGCCAAGGGCTGGACTTGCTGCTGCAGCTATTTAGTTCTGCCACCGGCTCCCCCTGGGTCCTACTGCCCCTGTCTCCTGTCATCTTTGACAGGCAGCCAGGGGCAGATAAATATTAATTTTCTAAATTTTTTAGGGGCTCCATGGGCTGGATAGAATGGCCTGGTGGGCCGCATGTGGCCTGCGCGTCATATTTTTCCCATCCACGGTGTAACAGGATCAGTGCCCCATGGGTAGCCACGGTACCCCCTGGTGGTCACTCTCCATTCCTTTTCTGCTCTGGCTCTAGGTGCCCTCCCTCTACTCTCGCCTCCCATGCTTTGATGTTCTTAATAAAGTTTGGAGAGGGACTCTGTCCCTAGGCCCTAGAGCAAATTTCATTTTGATCTCCTGCCAGCAGATCTCTTCAGATCCTGTGGGACTCATTCCAGTCCTCACATTTAATTGGCCCTCCCAGCATGTACATGTCCCCCAGGACACCTACTATCTTAGGGCAGGGGTAGACAAAATACAGCCCATAGGTTGGATGCAGCCCACAGAGCGATTTTTGCCCAGCCCACAGCCGGTCCCTCAGCCCCGCTGGGCAGCACTGGGGCACGCCTATCCCATGCCAGCCCACAGCTTGCCCCAGGATGCCTTCTCCACGGTGACAGCCCCAAAGCCCACTAGCTTGGCATGGGGTGGGATGGAGCGGCACAGAATGGGGGCAGTGGCAGTGGCAGGATCCTTAGAGAGGGTGCTGCATCCGGGGCCAGGGTGGGTGCCAGGGCTGGTCTCCATGGAAATGGCACATGGCCAGGCAGGGAGCTGCATCTAGGTTTGGAGGCTGATTTCTGTGGAGACCAGCTTGGTCCCAGCCCCAGCCTCAGATGCAGCGTCCTCACTGGCGCTCCCGCAGCCTGCTTCACGCTGATCTGCCCCACACCGAGTTGGCGGGGCTGGGAGCTGGGGGCTGCTGCTTCCAAACAGGTATCCCCGGGGCAAGCTGCAGGCTGGCACAGGATGAGGTGCTCCAGAACCAACCACCCCCTGGCCACAGCCCGGTCCTGGATTCTGCAAATGGCAGGGTGTGGAGCCACCATCAGGTCCATCCCCTCCCACCCCACCCCTGTCTGCAGACTGCATACCCTGGACCAGGGGAGGGGATGGGTGAGGGGAGAGGGAAGGGAAGCTAAGTTCCTCCTTCACTGGACTTGCAGCCCTCCTCTCCCTCTCATGGCTGCTCCAGTCCCCCAGAGAGGCCCAGCAGTGGTCTCTACATCTGCCCTAGCCCCGTGCTGTTAATTCACCAAGATCCCAGTCCCAGATGCAGCTCCAGAGAGTCCCATGAGCAGGCAGGGAGTTGCATCCAGGCTCGGGGCCAGGATTGTGGGGCAGTGACAGCGTGGGGCTGGAGCAGGGGAGAACCGAGATCTGCTTCCTACATGGCCCTGCCTGCAAGTAAAGAACTCATACCCATCACAGAGATGTGCAGGCAGCAGCTCGTGGCTCTGACTCAGTCCTGGACCCATGCTGTCACTGCCCCACACCCCTACTGTGATCCCAGCCTCACCCACTCATCCTGCTTCTGAACACCGCTGCCTGGGACCCCATCCCACATAGGGAGTTCTGGTGATCTGTTGGGAGGGAGTGCTCACCCAGCCCATGACAGCTCACCAAAACAACCTATGCTTGGCTGCTTGGCCCAAATAACTGCCCACCCCTGCCTTAAGGGCTAATCATCCCTTGGCCCCTACATCCTTGCACGTGTCACAGGTGCTTCCAATCATTACTTAAGTGGGCACTAAGTCCAAACCAGCAGGCCACCTTAGGTCTCTACTCCCTTGTTGGGGCCTCAGCCTTCCTTGCTTCCACCCCACTGCTCTGGCTGGCCCCTTTGGCTGAGACTGACTGCACCAGGTCTGGCTTCTCGAGCTGCAGCTGCACATGCCTCTCTGGCACTCTGGGACCTCCACATCTCCCCTTTTTAGTCCCACCCAGTCCACTGGTTTGCACTATAAACAAAATCATAAGCCCACCAGTTGCAACAAAAACTGCCCCACTATCCCTGAAAGTCATCTAAACCCATCTAAACCTTACTTGCAGGGCCCCCATCAGTGCTAGAGATCTCCTAGAAGTCCTCTGCAGCCTCTTAGCTTCAGAGCTTTTTCTCTTCCAGCCTGCAGCCTTGCTTTCTCCCAGCTTCTGGCCTAGCATGGGACCAAGAACTCATCCCTCTGCTAATCTTCATCTTCCAACTTCCATGCTGCTGGCCGCAGGGCAGCAGTTCACATATTTTTTGGGTCAAAAAAAGATCAAGTCTTCCAGACATCCTAGAGACACTGCCCAAACCCTAATTGTCTGAACAAGCCCAGAATGTGTCTGGCCGGGCTGTTGGGGAAAGGGGAACAAGACATAAGCCAAGAATTAACTCAATTTAATAACCTCTCACAAAAATGTAGTTATTAGATCCTACAGATAAGGGCATGCCTAGTTAGAAATAGCATATTTGCCTGACTCTTCACAGGCAGCTCATACATGCGGGATGAGTTCTCCTCTGCCTTTGAGTCATCCAGTTGTGCACATTCCTGCATTTACTGGAGGAGGGCACTGCTTTGAATCAGCCTTTCCCGATGATTATCACCTTGGCTCACCGTGGGTAACTCGCTCTTTCCCCAGTTTAAATCCTACAGCTCATTTCACTGCAGACGTCTCCATATCTCCAAAGAAGGCTAAATTTGAGCAGTAATCTAGACCCAGAAACGGTCTCATCTGACAAAGAGCACGGTGGGAAGACCAAGTGCTGGGAACACCTTTGAGTCTGCACTCAGTAGTGAGGGAAGGGAGCTCTCTAGCCTGAACCAGATAATCATGGTAGCCTAGGGGACTTATGTCAGTTTGGTATGGTACCCTTTACCAATTCCTCATTGCAGTTACCCCAGTAGAGAAAATGGGAAGGGAGAGAGAGGGGCTGTCTCTGTCAAACTGTCTGCTGGTAATGTGCTCAACAGGGGCCTTGTGGGAGGTTTTGTTTCCTGAATAGCCCAAAGGAAAAAGGGGCAGGGCTAAGATTCTGGGCTATTGATATTTTGTTGTAGTACCTCAGTTCTGCATTACTCAGCCATCAGAATAACACATAGCAAAGTTGAGTTCCAAAGTTACATGGTAAAGAAAAAAAACAAGTTCCCTAGAACAATAACCAGGTTTTGCACAGATAGCACTTGTTTACATGAGTAAATGTACCATCGTAACTAGACCAAACCAATTACACCCTTGTAATTATAACTAGGAATCTACCTAACTCGTGGCAAAAGAAAACAATTTTCACGGCTTGGTCAGGACCCGAAGAGCTGATTTCCTGGTCATTTCACTGTGGCCCCACCCCTCGACACTGACTAGTGGAGAAGCCAGGGAAGGCTGCAAGTTCAGGCCAGTGATGACTTCTGGCACCCACTGGGGAGACAGCATTTTATTTTTATTAAAGGGTTTTTTTGGTTGATTTCCTGAGGAAAAAAATCATAGTCAATGCCATTTTTTGCACCAATTATGAAACTGCAATTTAAAGTAGGTCCCTAGTTATAACCCGTACAATTCCCCATGTGGCAACTTCTACTTAGGTGCAAGAGTGCATATTTCTGTTTTAAGCTGTGCGTTTTTGAAGGTGGAACACATTTAGTCAAGAACAGAGGTTCTGGTGGACTCCTAGGCCTTTTGGCAGTCTTGCTGAGCCAGTGGTTCCAGGGA